ACAGGAAGAGAGATGGAATAGTGCTCTATGGATGGAATTGTTGATTGTCACTGAATCTAGTGCACTTGCACATCACATGTGCTTTTCAACTTCCTTGACTACGGCCCTTGATTCATATTCCACCATATGGATTGCACAGAGGTAACAATCTGGGGTGCAAATATTTGGACCAGGATCCAGTAAATCAAGTGTTTTTGGACTTGTGTTTCTTGAATAGCAACCTCCCATAGCATTGCAAACCTCTGCTAAATTGAGGGGACTTTCAAAAAATGCTTATGAAATAAGCATTTTTAAAATTAGGATCGCAACCTCTCCATTGAGAATGTGCAAGCCCTTGGAGTAGCATTTAAAATAATTAATTTAAGAAGGATCGTGCTGGATAAGGTAAGACCAGTGTAATGATTCCTTGTTTTATATATGTGTGTGTGTGTCTTTAAAAGTTTGATTGCATGGCTGTGTGATGGACTAGAGTGCTTGAAGAGACAAGTGTGGTGTGATTGGTGATTGACAGAGAGGGGGAGGGGTTTTAGAAAGGGTTTCTGAGTGGATGAATGGGTATGTCCTTCAGGAGTGACAGTTAGAGGTTTGACAGTTGAAAAGGACAGTTGATAAAGACAGTTGATAAGTTAGTTTGTTCTGAGGTCTGAGGGAGAGAGACAGTCTTGTGTGTGATACAAGAGTTAAGTTCTGTGTATGAAGAAAAGTTGAATGTATAAGGAAACAAAAGTTAAATGAAAGTCTGAGTGACAGACTGGAGTGAAATAGGAAACGTATATGACCCTGAGTAATGAGTTACAAAGTTACTTGAAAAATCCCTGTCAGAAAGGGAGCAGATCTTGTGTGAGACACAACGAAATTGTTAAAATTATTCACATTACTGGTTACATTGTTCTACACTTTTATTTATGAACTGTTTCAATAAATCTTCTTTTATTTAAGTCTGCCAGCTCTGAAAGAAATAATTTCTCAGGAAACACATAGACCCTCATGAGATTTAAAAACTCGACCTACCTATTTATCCAGTGATAGCCAAAAGAAAGTATAAAGGTTTGGAAAGCCTAAAATTTCCTGGTGGCAGCCAAACCTACCCAGTTGAACAAAATAAAAAGAACACTTTAAAGTGAAACCAGGCCTCCCCAGATAAGGGGACATCACAACCAGTGATTTACATAGCCCAACATCCTGCTTTACACTGAAGCCCAGTAGATGCCATGGAAGGCCCACAAGTACAACACAAAGGCCAAATCCTCTCCCAGCCATCCAACAACTGGTATTTAGAGGAATGTTGAAGGTTCCACTTATCCATCATGGGAAATAGCCATTGAAAGACCTATCTCCACAAGGATGTTTAGTAGCATAATCCTAAACAGACTCATCATAGCCCATGGACCTCGATGGACCTAGCAAGGTATAATTGTGTTTAGGCTAGCACTGTTAATCCTTTTCCATTAGCAGCCATTGTCACATCCTGTAGCCATGAGTTCAACAGGTTAATTGTGCATTGTGTGAGAAGGTCCTATTTTAGTGTACCTGTCTTGAATTTACTGGTCGTAGGCTTCCCTGAGGTATGTAGCATGATGGAAGAAGGAGAAAATAGGTTGCAGTCAGGACCACCATGCAAATTGTGTTAAATATACCTTTCTCGAAATACTTGTGTGTCTAAAAGTTAGATGTGATTCAGAAGGCCTGAAGATTTGCTCCTCCCTTTATCGTATGGGCTCGGTTTCTTTTTACATGCAAGAAAAAGAAATCTGTAATTCAATTTGACTTCACAGTAAGAAGTGTATCTGTGACATTCCATCTCTACAAAAGTTTTGTATGTGTGCATCTTTCTCTGCCCATAAACGTCTTTTCTTAGGCATTGTCATTTGAACATTTGGAACATATTTTAAAATACTGTTAAACAGATTGTTCTTCTGGAGACAGAACAGGGAAGTGTATCTTTTTAAAATAAAAATAAAAATGTGCTGTGAAACTTTTAATCCATTGTTACTTCACTTGGTTGGTAACACTCCATGATTCACAGAATCTAGGGGCAGCAACTGATTTAACAATATTGAAACCCCATTTTTAAATTGTTCTTTCTATACAGAACCTGCTGGAGATAAAATTGTAATACCATAGCAAACTGACTGTTGGCATATTGATTTTCTACCACCTTTGGAGTTTAATCTTAAATGGTGTGCTACAGATAACATATCTTGGTTTCTCTGGCTATGTACATAATTATTCCTAACATTAAAGGTACTAGCCTGCCTTTATGACCATGAAGGCAACACCACACCCACTGGCAAGGTAAGGGTCTCTGCATACTTGTGGGGACTCCCCAGATGTTCAAAACACCCAGAATAATGCAATGAGGACCAAGTATGACCTCAGGAGGCACAATGAAAAGAAAACCAGTCTGGGGATGGGGGCAAGGTAGCTTTCTGAAGCCCCTTGGGGAAATCATACAATCCTGGAAGGGGAGATTTTGAAGAGGATTTCCAGATAGTTCCCATTCCCACAGCTTCTTATGGGCTCCCAGAACTGGTGGTAATAAATAGGGCAGTGATATAGGAACATTCACTAAGTATCTATTCCTACATACTTGGGGGACTTCCGAGGTATGTAAAAAAATTATAACTATTTTTAAAAAATGAAAAAGAGACACACAAAAATCCACCAAAGCCCTCCAGTGGGAACAGGATTTTAGAAACAGTTACATGCCCTTGAACAGATGAAAGAGGAGTTATAACGCTTAAAGCTTTCCAAGCTGAACTCCCTCTGGTTGCAAGCACTGGTTGCAAGCACCCATGAAAGTTGAGTCCACTCTTAAAGACTCTGAGAGTCTCTGCAACTGGTGGTAGAAAGTGCTATCAAGTTGCAGCTGACTTATGGTGACCCCAAAGGGTTTTCAAGGCAACAGATGTTCAGAGGTGATTTGCGATTGTCAGCCTCTGCGTAGTGACCCTGGACTTTCTTGGAGGTCTCCCATCCAAATACTAACCAGGGCCGACTCCGCTTAGCTTTTGAGATCTGATGAGATCAGGCTATTCAGGTCAGGGCACTCTGACTGTACCCATCAAAGGAATTTGCTCCATCTTTTCAACCTAAGAGATCACATTCAGTGATGCAATAATACAAGGATTACCCCATATGAATCCTCAAGCAGAAAAGCTGTCTGAACAGGACTGTGCACCAGGAACACTTGTGGGATGTTCTGAAAATATTACCCCAACCAAAGAGTACTGCAGGACGCTGTGTCCGATGTCCATTGCAGCCAGCACAGATTTTCTTCTCTAATGAGCCTGGACTTTGTGACCTCTTCTATCTGTGTCTGTCTCCATGGGGAACTGGGCAACAGGCATGAGCTTACAGAAGGCTGCCTTCCCTTCTAGAACAGATAATCAGTGCAAATCAGCGCAGAAGGAATGTTGTGTGGCAGTAAAGCTTCTAGCTGATCCTGTGTTTATTGTGTTGCCAATCAAAACTGTGTCAGCAGCAGCATCTAAAAAGGAGTTGAAAGATGACCTAGGGAAAGTGTGTTTGTGTGTGTACGTGTCTGTTTGTCTGAAGTAGCCATTACAGTCTTTTACATTGTGCAAGGTCTGTATTTATTAATAGATTGTAGGGCTTTTATACTCCATTATGTTATTACCCTTGAAATTGAACTGCGTTTATAACAAATATGAAACATGTATTTTTAACGCTAAAATGTGATTCTCCAACAATAATACCCAAAATAAAGTGCCAAGAAGCTATTAACGGCAAATTGAATTTTGTGGTATGTAATTTAGTATAAATAGTGACAAGTATTTCCCCCCCCCCCACCTCACCCCGAGTCCATTAGTCATTCAGTTTAGCAGTACAGAGGCTGCAGTCAACAAGGGTGTGCATTTTTATGTCTGCTTCAATTGCACACTTCATTTATTTGGACAGGGCATAGGCGGCGTTCTCTGTCACACGGCATCACTACACGATTAGCAAGTTTCGCCCTTAGGGCAGCTGAGACGCTTTGCCGGGGCAGATGTTCTTTTCAGCGTATTCACTGGCCGCTCTTGGTTGTTTACCGTTGTCATGGTTACCTCGATTTCCATGGCAGCCGTGCGGCCTCCTCTTGGAGACAAGGAATATAGTTATAAAAGGATCATATTTTGCTCTGTGTCCCTTACTTGCCATCTGTCAACTGACTGCGCGCGACGGATTCAGCAACCGATTAAGGATAACAGCAGACGACTGATTATCCTTGTATTAAAAGTAACAGTGTGCCTGATGCAAATGGTTTGGGGTACTGCTCTAGTTTTCTACATTTTTAAAAAAAGTTCTCTGTAAAGATATGGTTTAAATTCTTGGTAGTACAGGAAAGAACAAGACCAAATGCCATAGTTGGTGTATGGCCTGAGTAGGGTTACTCAGACTATCTTAGTCTACTGATTATTTCCTCCTCCAGCTTTGTGACCTGTCTACTGCACACAGCCTTTGAAGTAAGGTGTTAAGTGTGTGATCCATCCCCCTGCAGAGAGGTAGCTTCCTCACTCTGAGGGATTGTCATAGAGCTTGAGTAGCTCATAAGCAGGCAAGAGGGAGGATTGGGTGGAGACAGGAGAGGTACATATGCATTTCTATCCCCATAGGGGCCTGATGAACTCCTCATATATATACTGATATAGGAAAGAGGGGAGCTCTGTTGAGCCCTCTGGTATTCAATTTGCGTGCAGACACTGCGTCTGTAGGGATCATCTTGTAATCGCTAACAAAATAAAATCTCAGTAGTAGCTTGAGACTGATGAAACAGCAACTGCACACTCCCATGGATTGCAAAGGGATGGCAAATTTCAGCACAGGGTGCTTATTTGAGATCGTATGCAACTTCAAAATTAAATAAATTATAGGCATTTTCTGTTCCCAATAATCTTTAGTAGCTCTTTCACTGTTGAGGTTCCGTTCATTCTAGAAACTAGAGGGGGGAGGAATTGGCCCATTTGTAAATTAATATATTTATTGGTTGATTTTTCCAGATCCTGACATTGATGCTGCCACTGCCATGATGCTTTTGAATACTCCCCCTGAGATACAAGCAGGTTGTGAGTAGATATTTCTATAGCCTATAGCACCATAGATATGTAAGCCTAACCTTCTATCTCTCATAAGGGCACAGTCAACAGGGGTGTTCCCCCCAAAAAGGGCACAGTCAACAGGGGTGTTCCCCCCCCCAAAAGAAAAAGTGGTTCTGATAGAAAATAGAAAGTTATCAGGCGATTACTAATTTTTTTCCTACTAAGTGTCATTTTTAGTTGTTATCCTTGTTCATAAACCATATATGTTTAATGAATAACAACTATTGTACATATCTAATTCACATGAGTAGTTAAATGTGCTTGATATGTACAACTATAATTCATACAGCAATTGGATGTTGCGTATTTCTCCCTAGTTGTCCCTAGTTGTCCTTATTCAGCTATCTAGACACTAGGAGCAATGTTTCGGAAGAAAGACTTGGCAAAGGAAGTGGAATAGAAGACTCCTCCTACTTTGTTTCCGGAACCATTTGCATCTGTTCTGTCCTGTACTACCCTTGATAACCCAGTTCTGGCAGGCTGCAGTTCCCTTCATTTACAGGTCAGAGTGAAGATGGAAGGAGTTGAGCTCCGACCATGTTACATAGAGTTCCCTTCTTACCTGCAGGTCTTGATCCTCCATATGTATGTATCTAATTCATGTGAAAAGTAAAATGTGTTAGGTACACAGCTCTATATCAGTAAGTGAAAAGTATTGCCCTTCTATAGAACAGATAAGATAGTACCAAGAGTCACATTCAGAAAAGTAAGCTTTGCATCTGATCTCCCACGCTTTGGGAGGGTATCAGGTCCATTTAAGGGCAAACACTTGAAGAAAGGAAGAATTAGAACTGAATTCAATCCTTTAAATAGAGTGTCTGGCTTCAGATGGGACCAAAAAATGTGGCTTGTCATTATGAGAGGTGCCTTGAAAGTTTTCAGGCTCATGCATAGTCTCTCACAACAGTTTAGTGACTGAAGACTTACATTCACATCACAGGTTACGGCTTGTAAATGAAGAACTCTTTAAATCTCTGAACCCATACATAAACCAAAGGATTTAGAAGCATTGTTTCTCTAATGAGAAACATAGTTTGTTGCACCTGATTCTATACAATGTTAACTCACATAGTTAAATCAGAAATGTGCATAAAAACAGAATTTGCCTAAGGAGAACCCAAGCACGTTATTTTTGTAATAGGAGTAGCGGCATTTTCCTAGGTCTTTCCTTCTTCCCTTGTGGAATAAAAGTACCACTAGAGAACTTTTTACCGGATTATAAACATGAAACTATTTGACACTGAAAACTCTAACTTTTGCCTGATTTGTGCACTGTATTTTCTTCTGATCTGTCCAATCTTTCCCTCGAGTACACACGGAGAAATGAACAATGCAGACCAGGCAATCATGAATATGTCCAGCAGCAATTCCATTATTATGGTGGCTAGAGAAAGGGTGATTGTGGAGTTTGCCTGGTTTGCACAATATGTTTATTCACATGAGGTGATGCTTAAGGAAGGCTGAAACTATTCAAATGCAGGAGATAATGTATTGTGCACACTAGTCTTTAGTGACCCTTTTTCTAAAATACAATAAACCCAGAAGAGTTTGCATATAATAGCTCTTTGATAGGTCTTAGGCAGTTAATTTGCTTTTCCAAGAACTGATCTTGCAATGTGTGAAAGTAGTGAATACATTTTATGTATAGTGTGTAAATGACTAAATCTCCCCCTTTCCCCCCCTATATTCCTAAATTTTACTACTTTTACTTATCTTTTTGGCTTTCTCTTTTTATTTACTAGAAAGATTAATGAGATCCAGTGTTCTCTGACATTATTTATGTTGTAAATAAATAAATAGCTAAGCAGGAGTGGTAGATCTAGAGGACCACTTATGGAACAGATTCTCCTCCCCCTTTTTCCTGTTGTAATCCATTCCCTCCCCAAAAAGTAGGTTCAGGGGAGGGATCCTTGAGGTTACCCTTAGCAGCAGCAGGAGTGTATTGTTGGGGATCTGAAGGGGAAGGGAGGGAAATGCAAAAAAAATCTAGCCATGAGTGGAAGGACTGATCTAGAAGAGGGTGCCTGGATCTTACCCAAGGTCGACAAAATGGAATAAGCCTCAGTTTCATTAAAGGAGCACAGTTAAGGTACAAAGGAATTAGGCAACAAAAGTGATGCATTCCTTCCCTTTCATGTACTTTCTTCAACAATATCCTAAATAAAGGAAAGTATATACGTAGCATCTCTGTATGCATACCTGCCTACTGGACATTTTCAGTCTTTGTGATAATCTCCAGCTGAAAGGTAAGCAACTGCACTTTTTAACAACACATTATTATTTAATACAGATCACACACCATATAATGCACAATAGTTTGCACTGCTAAAAGAAATACTCTCTTTCAGCCCTCAAAATTAATTCTGCAGAGAGATTCCTAATGTTGGCACTGACAGAACCCAAATGGAGCTGTTAACTCTTCCATCTAGTAGAATGTCCTTTCCCCCCCATCAATGTCAGGCCATTTTTGCACTATTTGTCTCTGGAAAATTACCTATGAAGCACTAAGCCCTGAAGAAGAAACCCACCTATGGCATACTTTCAGTCAGTGGGTAGGGAGACATGGTCATCTTTAATTCATAATTCTTCATATAAGGGAGAAGTTTTGGTGGGTAAAGACATGCTGGTCAGCAACACCATGGAGGACTTTTTTGAAATAAGGAGAAAGGGTTTGTGTTGGATACATAGGGGGATGGGAACTGAAAAGAGATTTTTGAGGAGATTTGTAGGGATTTTTGAGATGAAATTACATGGTATGAAGGTCAAGAAGGGTGATTGTTTTGGGCAGTGGAGTTCTGAATAGTCTTCTCCCTCCTGTTTGGTAGATTTGTTTACATGATCAGTTATCTGGAGAGACGTCTTTCAGCACCTGGCTTGCTTATACATTCAGGGGTGGAACCAACATCTGAAGTGAGATGAATAACCACACAACTCCTGGCAGCATTGCAGCTATTATCTCTCTGTCATTTTGTGTTTTTGTTTTAATTTTGAAATGTTTATTAAGATCAACTATAGCATATCAAAACATACAATAACTGCAAAACATTATGCAGGAGTCTTGAAAATCCGAAATTACAAACCAATCGGTTAGTCACCAACAAAACATTAACATACATCTACAGTTATAACAAGGCGGTATCAATTCCGTTCACCTTTACAAAAGTGCTGTTTAAACCATAAATTCCAATGAATTGAGTCAAGTCTGTTGCTCTGGTATGGGAGCTAAGTCTTTCATCCCTGAATAATGACAATATAAAAATATAGCAGGGCTGTTATCACTGGCAAATGAAGCTCACAATTCCATGGAGAAACACAGTAACCTGCAAATGACACAGCTTTGGAGAAAATGGCTTCTAGTTTAGAATTGCTTGAGCATTATCATCTTGTAACAACATAGCCAAGTCCAGTATCTAAGTAAAGGGGGGAACCATATAGGTAACCCCTTTTCACACATGCACAGTGGCTTATCTTCAAAGAAACTACCATATGTACTGTATTGCTAACCTCTTTTTAAAAGCAGCGGCATTTGTAAATCAGCTTAAGGGGAACAGGAAGAAGGTTTCTATTGTTTGGAGAAGTACAAAATCCCTGCTGTACATTCAGATCTATTCCTGTGTCTCTCTAAATGAATAGTTCTACTCTCCAAAGTTCTTTGTGGCCATGAAACTTGATAGAGAGCAGGTTGTCCATCCCACTTACTGTTTGCTCCACTGTGGGGAGCTGCTAGCTCACTTATCAGAAACTGACAGATACTGGATGTTTGTAAACCTGTGCAATTTGATCTGTGGTGTACCGTGAATAAAGTTCCAAGAGCAGAAAAGTATTGTGTGCATGAAAAATTCCTTTCACAAAGGTTCGATGCAAGCAGAGAGAGAGAGAGAGAGGTTATAAACAAATGCAGATATAAGGTACAGATATGCCGGCATGTTGCCGATAGAAATTCCTTGGAGGCTGATGGCAGTGGTTCAGGTTTTTAAAAGGACAGTTTGCTAAGGAGTAAGTAGGTTTGAGGAGTGATTTAATGCTGTGGGTTAAACAACAAATACAGTAAGAGCCTTAAAAGATGCCACACTTCAGCCAAAAAAAAAAGGTCCAAACAGAGATTTCAGTGTGAAGCTGCTGATTTCATACACAGATTTAACACTGTCTTATTTGGTCTATCTTAATAGAAAAGGGTTAGTTCATTTCAGAAAATAATTCTCCCCCTGTGGGTGTTATTCATTTGCTGTGCTTATTTTGTATGTATGTGGGTGGGTGTGCATGTGCTTGCATGCCTGGAAGTCATGGCGACTTCTGACGACCCCTACTGGGTGCTTGGACATTTTTCAGAGAGGTGGCTTAATAGCCTGCCTCTGTGTCCTGAGTCCTGGTATTCTCTGAAGGTCTCCCTTCCAAGTAGTTGCCAGGGTCAGCCCTGCTTAGCTTCTGAGATCTGATGAGATTGGGCTTGCCTGAACTATCCAGGTCAGGGCTTTTGCTGTGCTTATTGATCACCACCCACCCACATTGATTGGATCACTTACAGTGCAGTCCTGCACACTAAAATTGGACAGGCCAGAGAAACTTTGCTGCTGATATGAGTCTTGTTTTTCTTCATGCTCTGCATAAGGATTGCATCATGCTTGTCTCTGGGACTGTCAGGCCGCTTAGCGTCACTTTGAAATAACATTCCCACCCCACCATCATCCTCTGCCTTTCTTCCTTTTGTACCTGTTTGTGAAGAGTAGCACCAGATAAGGGTAACACTTCATGCATCTGATGATGTAGACCCTGGTTTATGAGATTTATTCTGCAGTAAATCTGCTACTTTTTATGGGGCTTGGATGGGACTTTGTCCACTGTTTAAATAAAAATAGGAAAAAGGGGCAACATGAACATAAGTAGAGTTTTGAGATTGAAGTGCGGTAATAGTGAATGTGGGAGCCAGTGGGAGATGTTTTGAGAGATCGAGTGGAGGATAAATAAAG